TGTGTCCATGACTGGGACCACAGAGAGGATATGGGGGTGTAGCAATCTGGGCTGAGACTGCCACAGTGTCTGGATTTCTAGACTATGCCTCTGCAGCTAAATGAGTCTGAGCAAACAGAGAAACCATGTGTCCTGCAGGAACTTTACATTCTAGAAACTATGCAGGGGCTGAACAAAGGAGGAAAAAAGCTTTCTGCAGGACACTAGCTAAGAGAGCACACCCAAAACAGGAAAAGGAAAATGCTTTCTCCTCTCTAGTGTCCTTCCAAGCCCTCTACTGACAAAGCTTAACATAATGTTAAGCTAGGGTGCAAAGTAGAAATATTTGTAAGGCCCAACACTATTATTACCGGGCTTCCCAGGTGCTAGTGGTAAAGAAAGTAAAAGTGAAAGTCGCTCAGTCGTTAACTCTTTGTAACCCCATGGACTACACCGTCCATGAAATTCTCCAGCCCAGAATACTGGAGTGGGTAGCCTTTCCCTTCTCCAGAAGATCTTCCCACCCCAGGGATTTAACCCAGGTCTCCTGCATTGCAGGAGGAGACTTTACCAACTGAGCTTTCAAGAACCCACCCACCAATACAGGAGACGTAAGAGACGCGAGTTCAATCCCAGGTTCTGGAAGATCCCCTGGAGGAGGGTAGGGCACCCCATTCCAGCATTCTTGCCTGGAGAATCCTATGTATAGAGGAGTCTGGTGGGCTATAGTCCTTGGGGTCACAAGAAGTCGGACATAACTGAAGCAACTTAGCACGCACACACCATTATTACAAAGCAAGCAACAAGAGTCCATTTGAAGTGAACAGGCAAAAAAATCAACCATCAGTTCATGATAACTGTTATTCCTTCTTGGATTTTTGGTATTTTTTGGTAGCATCCTGTAGTTATTTTTATTCTTTTTATTTATTATATTTATCTTTGGTGTATTGTTTAAAGTTCTTTGGGGCTCTAATTCTTTAATGATTTTAATGGGTGTATGTGCCCAGTGCTCAGTCCTATCTAACTCTTTGTGACTCCATGGACTGTAACCCTCCAGGCTCCTCTGTCCATGGAATTTTCCAGACAAGAATACTGGAGCAGGTTGCTGTTTCCTACTCCAGGGGATCTTTCTGACCCAGGAATCGAACTCATGTCTTTTGTACCTCCTGCACTGGCAAGTGGATTCTTCACCACTGTGCCACCTGAGAAGCTCTAATCCTGTTTTGTATAGTAACCCTGGTACATGGTAGATCATTTCCTTCAATGTATTTCATTTGGATTGTGATCTAATCTGCAGTATTGCTTTTCTGAAGTGGCTCTGCCAGAAGTGAACTGAAAAGAGATTTTGCATTTGTTTCTGCCAGAGATCACAGGGATATATTACTCAACCGGGGTTTCTTGTAGTTTTTGAATTGTGGCTTCCAAAAGAACCATAGTTAGGATTTCGGGGGGGGCGGGGGGGAAGAGGTCTCTCCCACTTTGAGCCTAGGCTGATCTGGGAGAGTTTTGTTATTCAGAGAATACTTTACAAATTTCCATTTCCATTATTCTTTCATGACAATTCAAACTCATACTTTTAGATTATTTAGGCCAATCCTACCACCCCACCCTTGGGAGCTGGCAGAGTATCATTCAAGTGTTTAGTCTCATTCTCTCACTTAAGCCTTCTTTGTTTCTCGATGCTAGAAGTCAATTACTTCTTGAAAGCTCATCCGTGGATTTAAAAAGATTCTTGTTATAGTTTGTCAGGATATTTAGCGGAAGGATTGTAGAATTATCTATTTTGCTACAATCCAAGAACCAACAGTCCCCAAATATCCTTATAAGCCCTCTCTATTTTTTAAGGCAACATGCATAACACTTCCTTTCAGCGAGTCTTATTTACCAGTTATCATTTACCTTGGGTAAGTTATTAAATCTCAGCTTGCCATGGCAGCTACTATGCCTGGTCCTCCTGAAGCCCCAAGATTTGGCAGAAGTCATGATTTGTCCTTTGTGGAAAAGATACATTGGGTTTGCTTCTCCTGCTTTTCTCCCAACACAATCATCCATGAACTTACTGACTGGCTTATTTCCCATTAGATTTTGCACAACACATTTTTTCCTGATCAATTAAATCACCTCCAGTAAAACAAGCAATGCTCATGGGGTGACCTGTCTTATCATGGGTCTCATTACCAGAAACAGCTGACTTTATGAATGGTCGAATGGCATATTAGCAGGCAGTTATGGTCTCCGGAGATCCTACCTGGAAAATATGAGAAAGAGGGAGCTTTTTGATAAGATGTATGTTCTCAGAACCAAAAATTAATATATGGTATTAATCAGAATAAAAGTCCCAAAACCAAGGGACAAAACTGGGTAGGACTTCTCTTAATACTATATCCGTATTTAAAGTTTTGTACTATAACGATTCAGAGAGTTTAGTACCCAACTAAGAACTCTTTCATTAAAGGACCCAGTGATGATCCTATTTAATGGGAAACTGGGACTGTTATGTGGCAATTTAGTATTTTCCATACCACTGAATACATAGGCATGGCATGTTGGTAATTAAACTCTAAAATGTAGCCCATCAGGTATAAAATATTAACAGAGTTACAGCAGAACCACAGGAGGAATAGGTATGTTAGACGTGTGTGTGTGTGTGTGTGTGTGTGTGTGTGTGCGCGCGCGCGCTCAGTGGAGTCCAATTCTTTGTGACCCCACGGACTTTAGACCACTTGACTCCTCTGTCCTTGGGATTTTCCAGGCAAAAATACTGGAGTGGGTTGGCATTTCCTTCTCCAGGACCTCTTCCCTACCCAGGGATCAAACCTTGTGTTTCCTTCATTGGCAGGTATATTCTTTACCACTGCGCCACCTGGGAAGCCCTTTAGACTTAGAGCTACTCCAGATGTGAGCAGGTTTGGATTTTCTTCCTTTGGGGAGCTGAGGACTATACTCCCAGGAGTTTGAAGCATAGCTGAAGTATATTTAGCAGAAATTGGGAAAAGAAAATAGAAAGTATGTGAGGAACTGTGATTTTAATGTTGGGTGGCCAAAGGAATGAGTTATAGTAGGGATTGTTTTTTTGTCTTTGGCTGACGAGTATCAATCTGGACTTAATGTGCTTAGAAATCTAATTTGTTTTTTAAATGTCTAATTTGTCTTTTAACCCCCTTTCCGGGTTTTGGAAGTAGAATAATTAACAGAGAAACAGGACTGTGGGCACTTTTGTGGTGTAACAGCAAAGGAAGTTCTCAGAGACAGCTGCGGTGCTGTTGGGATCAGCACGTGGAGTTCAGTGATATCACTGTCCGTGGCAGTGTGTGGAGGGGGTGCGCTATCTGGGGCTCAGTACTGGTGGTGGCAACGTCTGCTGTATCAATTCCGTGGTATGAGTTTGGCTGTGATACCAGCTTGGTTTGTTCCGTCCATTTTCTGAGCCTGTTTCTATGTTTTCTGGCAATCCTCTGAGTCACAGTACCCTTAAGAATTTCCTAGTTCAGACTGCAGTTCGAAAAACTTGAATCTTTCTCACTAGCCAGTGTGAGCTTAGAGAGGAAAACGTCTTTTAATAACTTGTATCTTTCCTATTCTCTTAGCAGAGAGACTTTTTGAGTGAGTACATCTGCTACTGTGGTTTATTAATAAATAATGTGATCTCTAATCTTAAAATGTTATAATCTAATAAAGAATGTAAGGCATTTACATAAAATAAATGCAATCTATTACATAAAATAAAAGTAAATGCTAAACTGGCAACAGACTGTGTCAATCAGAAAATCTTCAAAGACATGGGATTACAGTAAATTCCTGAAGGATGGGCAGGAGATGGCATTTTGGGTACAGGAACCATAAACCATAGGAAGGAGCCTATGAAGTGTGTGTTTGAAGAAGTGTTTGAAGCTTGAAGAAGTGTGTTTATGAACTGAAACCAATATGATTGGTTAAGAGGCCCCTATTACCAAGGCCTTGTCTTCTAATCAGAAAGAGAAATTCTCTTACACGTCTAAACTTTTTTCTGAAGTTAAACATGTTAAACATTAGGCTAAACATTTTGCCACAGACATTTTAGAAACCAAGTTTGAATTAGCCTCTGCTCTCTGTGCAAACTTCTTAGCTATTCTTTCCTGGCTGATGGGAGGAAAGAGTCGGGGCGGAGGTGAGTAAGTAATAAAACCTGAACATAGTTCCAAATATATCGATTTACATTCAATTTTCCGTTATTTTTGGAATTTCTTTTTTTAAATTATTTTTAATATTAATAACAAGCAGCGAACAACTAAACAGTTACGGCTTTGCACTGGCAGTGTAAAGACTGAAGACTATTTCTCGATGGCAATGTCCAGTCACGCTTGCTGTCCTTGACCCTTAGTAACATTCTTGCTCACTGACTTCGGGAAGACTTCCAGGAGTAAAGATACATTTGAAAGTGGCTGAAAATAGTTTTAAAATCCAACTTTCCTGGCTTGATAGTGAAATGACCACACAGTCTGGTCACTGGGTCAAAAATCAATTACAAAACAGAAGAGTTTTTGCATTAGCCTTAGTAAAAGACGGACTCGAAAACCACAACCGGGGGGGGGGGGTGGAGTGGGGGGGGGGAGCAACCATTAAACTACAGGAAATACAGTAATGGTTTTTACTCTTGGCGAGATGGGCCGGCTGCTTTCCAGCCCCGCTGTGGATCCTCTGAAGTTCGCGGCTCGCTCCGTCGCTTCTTCCCAGACCCCCGCCCCGGTAGAAGCCCTCGCAGGGTAGCCAGCAGCCAGGTCCCACTCCCTACCTTCAGGAGGTCGCGTCCCAGGCCCCACCCTAGCCAGAGCCCCCGAGTCCCAGCCCTTCGCCTCCGGCAGGCCCCAAGCCAGGTGGGGACGAGCCCAGGCCGGGCGTTCGCTCCAGCAGTTCCGCGTCTGCGCAGCGGACGTGGGGCTGGAGCGGGGCCGGCCGGGGAGGCGCAGGATGCGCGGGAGCCAATGGGCAAGCTCGGGGGAGCCGGGCTGGCGGCCACGGCCGGACCGGCTCGCACTCTGGGGATGGAGGGCGAGTGCCGGGCGTCTCCGGCGCGCTCCTGGGGCCTCCCGGCTGGGGGCGCCGGCGGGGACAGCCCGGGGGGTGACGTCCCCCTCCCCGGCAGCATCAGCTCCTCCGCCCTGCTGCAGACCGAGGTGCTGGATCTGGACGAGGACGAGGACGACCTGGAGGTGTTCAGTAAGGTGAGGGCGGCGCGTCCCGGGAAAGTTCCAAGTCAACTCCCGGAGCTGGCCCCGCCGTGCGGCGGCCGCTCTAGCGCGCTCCCCCGGCCCCGCTGGAGGCTCGGAGCGGCGGGCGGGTGGGTCTTCCCAGGCCGCCTGATCCTGCCTGGCTGTTCGCCGCCCCCGGGACTGACTCCCAGCAGGTCCCGAATTGCAGCAGTTCACTCTTCTGCACTTTGACCTTGCGTTCGGCAGGGCCATAGCTTCGTGGTCTGCAAAGTTGTGCCATTCCCCACTTTTCTCCTCTTTCCTTCTCTGACGCGGATATTTCCAGGGACAGTGCTGGAACCGGGGAGGCGGTGGCCGGAACGTGCCCCCGCCCCTGGCAGCTTCTTTTAGGGCGCAGCCAGCCCTAAACCCTGGGAGCGAAATCACCCGAGTCTAGGGAAATTATTCTCGATTTAGTGTTGTTGCTGGTTTTGGATTGGAGACTTGGGTGGCGCCGGAGGTGAGTCTTAAGTCTTAAGAGGCGTGAGGGAATCCCTCTTCAGGAGAAAACAGTTCGTGTGTCCAACTAGGAAGCTCCTGCGCTGCGGAGCTTAGGATTTTTTAGCTCCTGCCACCCAACTCACTGCCGGCGCTTTCGTTTTTAAACCTAACCCGGGGCAACCTAGAGACCAAAGGGCCCTCTGAACTTGCAGGATATTTGGAGAGAAATTGACTCGGACACTGGCAGACTTGTGGTGCCCGTAGGCTGATGGCTGTAATTTTGTTTTGGAAAAGAAAAAGACCATTCTTGCGAGGCCGTTCAGTGCCACTGCAGCTTCTCTGAGTTGCTGCTGGTAGAAGAGTTGAGATGGGAACATTGTATTGATAATGACTAAGAAGCCTGCGCAGTAGGTTAAGTGTTACCTTGAGGTGTTAAGTAAAGCAACAGACTTCACCACTGCTTTATTCTGGGAGAAAAGTTATAAAGTGAACAAGCATACTCAGACCCCAAAGAGGAATATGCAAAACTCGTCCCCTTTTTCCCTTTAGGATTAAGTGAAGTGGTAGGCACAGGTGTATTGGGGAAGTTCAGATGGAGTATCTGGTTTATACCCTTGATGAAATCACGTGACCTTTCAGTGTGTTTAAATTGTAAAACAGTGGAATTATTTTTTATTTACTTGTAAAAAGTTTACATTGACTTTTTGTTGTTGTTGTTGTTGCTCCACACATACTTTATGTTCAGATCAAGGACAGTTGATCAGTTCTTATTTATATTGCCTTCTAAGATACCATTGTTTAGTTGCTAAGTCACATCTGACTCCTTGGGACCTGGTGGGTTATAGCCCACCAGGCTTCTCTGTCCATGGGGTTTCCCAGGGAAGAAAACTGGAGTGGGTTGCTGTTTCCTTCTCCAGGGGACCTTCCTGACCCAGGGATCGAAGCTGTGTCTCTTGCCTTGAAGGAGGATTGTTTACCGCTGGAGCCACCAGACTATGAGGGTTAGCCTTTGGGGCTCTGCACTGTGAAGCTTGGGGTGGGGAGGATGAGTACAGGAGTGTGTAGAGAGTGGTAAGTGGGATCATCTGGAATGGCTTACATTTGTCATGTGGTTTCTCTTTCCCCAGATTCTAAGTGTCCTGACCTCCACCAAGAATCACTGTTTTAATGAGCCTCTTGTAGTCTGAGGCCGATCTTAGATGAAGCTAATGAAATTTGAGTTTGGGCTGTTTTTTTGTCTAGGTCTCTGGAAAATGTAAGATAGTGGGAGCAGTACAGGTTCTAGGTGGGACAGGAATGACAGATTGTAGCCAGAAGCATATCTAAGTAAGCATTTCTGGTGAATTGCTTAAAGCCATCTCAGAGGAAAGGAATCTAGAACTCTGTGACTCCAATCAGCTGTTGAGCTTTCTTTTCTCATTCTAAATAAAACAATTGTTTTTCCACCTAATTTTGTATTGTAATTGTGTATTCTGTTTTAAAAGAATGTAAGTTTCAGCAACATGCTTAACCACTGCATTATTAAGCAGTGCATATAATAATGTGCAATATTGTATCTTTACCTTAACCTATGTGTCTGGCTTCTATAGAAGAGGGCCTTAACTTTTCTATGGGTCCAGTACAACACTAGCAAGCAGGATGGATCCACATGTGTGAGTCCTGCTTGAGTTGAATTTTGCAACCATTAACTGCAGTTCTACAAGCAAATTTAAGAAACTCATCTTCATTTGGCCTGCTCTCTCTACTGCTGCCTTTTTAGCCTGCTCCTCTGTAGAACCCTGCCACTGTCTAGCATACCCTAAGGTGGTATCACCTATTGCTTTTGAAGTGTACTAACTTTACCCTTCAGAACTTTGAGATTGACAATTTCCATATTCAGTTTATATTTACAATTGTATCTGTTATTTTCTTAGATTATTTATGAGTATATATACCGTACCCCTGTCCAGGTGCTTTTTCTTTTAATCATTTTATAGAGTTGATACACAATAGTATAGGAGTTTCTGCTGTATGATGTAGTAATTTGACATTTATATGCATTCTGAATTGATCACCATAATAAGTCTGCTGCTGCTGCTGCTAAGTCGCTTCATTCGTGTCCGACTCTGTGTGACCCCATGGACTGCAGCCCACCAGGCTCCTCCGTCCCTGGGATTCTCCAGGCAAGAACACTGGAGTGGGTTGCCATTTCCTTCTCCAGTCTAGTAACCATCATAAAGTTACCGCAATATTATTGACTATATTCTCTTCATGTACATTACATACCTGTTACTTCGTTGTTTTGTAACTGAAAGTTTGCACTTTTTAATCCCTTTAATCTATTTCTCCCTCCCTCTTCCAAACTGCTAGTTTGTATCTGTGGATCTTGTTTCTGTTTTATTTGTTCATTTGTTCTGTTTTTTTTTTTTATATTCTACATATAAATGAAATGATAAAACATTTGTCTGACTTATTTCACTTAACATAATACCCTCTAGGTCCATCCGTGTTGTTGCAGGTGCCAAAATTTTATTCTTTTTTATGGCTGAGTAATATTCAGTTGTGTACATATATACACAGCATCTTTGTCTGTTCATCTATTGATGGACACTTAGATTGCTTCCATAACCTGGCTGTTGCAAATGATGCTACTGTGAGAATGAAAAAAAAGTAGTGAAAAGTGTTAGTTGCTCAGTTCTGTGCCACTCTCTGCAAACCCATGGGCTGTACCTGCCAAGCTCCTCTGTCCGTGGAATCTTCCCAGTAAGAACATTGGAGGGGATAGCCATTCCTTGCTCCAGAGGATCTTCCTGACCCAGGGATCAAACTTGGGTCTCCTGCACTGCAGGAGATTCTGACACTGCACTGACAGATTCTTTACTCTCTGAGTCACTAGGGAAGCAAGTGAGCATTGGCGTGCATGCATGCATACTAAGTTGCTTTAGTTGTATCCAACTCTTTATGACCCTCTGGACCATAGCCCACCAGGCTCCTCTGTCCTTGGGATTCTCCAGGCAAGAATACTGAAGTGGTTTGCCATTCCCTTTTCCAGGGGATCTTCCTAACCCAGGGATCAAACCCACATCTCATGTCTCCTGCATTGGCAGGCATAATCTTTATCACTAGCACAACCTGGGAAGCCCGAAGATATATAGGGGTGCGTATATCTTTTCAAATTAGTGTTTTCATTTCTTCAGAAGTGGGATTGCTGGATCATATGATCATTCTTAATTTTTTAAGAAACCTTCATACTGTTTTCCATAGTGACTGCACCAATTTACATTCCCACCAATAGTGCACAAGGGTTTCCTTTTCTCCAATTTTTACCAACACTTGTTTTTTGTTGTTCATTTTATAAAAACCATTCAGACAGGTATGAGGTGATGTCTGTCATATTATGGTTTGGATTTGCATTGCCCTAGTGATTAGTGACATTGAACATTCCTTTCCTCTGTCTTCTGACCATCTTTATGTCTTCCTTGGATAACTGTCTATTCAGGTTTTCTACTCATTTTTAAATTGGGTTGTTTCTTTTGTTTTGCTTATTTTCATATTCATGATTATTCATTTATATTGAGTTGAAGGAATTCTTTATATATTTTGGATATAACACCCTTATCAGATATATCACTTGCAGATAACTTCTCCCATTCAGTAGGTTGCCTTTTCATTTTATTGATGGCTTTCTCTGCTATGCAAAAGCTTCTTAGCTTGATATAGTCCCATTTGTTTAATTTTGCTTTTGGTACCCTTGCCAAATTCTTAGATTGCTGAGACCAAGGTTAAAGAGCAGCTGCCTTTGTTTTCTTTTAGGAGTTTATGGTTTCAGGTGTTACATTTAAGTCTTTTTTTTTTTTTTTACATTCCTTAATCCATTTTGAGTTTACTTCTTTTTTTAGTATAATAAAATGGCTCAGTTTCAGTCTTTTGCATGTCACTGTCCAGGTTTCCCATCACCATCTATTGAACAGACTGTCTTTTCCCTACTATATATTCTTGTACCACTTATCATAAATTAATTGACCATGTAAGCATGGGTTTATTTCTGGACTTTCTGTTCAGTTTCATTGATCTATGTATCTGTTTTTGTGCCAGTACCATACTGTTTGTTTACTATAGTTTTTTTAGCATAGTTTGAAACCAGGGAACATGATACTGCTCACATTGTTCTTCTTTTTTAAGATTGCATTGATTACTCAAGGTCTTTTGTGATTCAATACACATTTTAGGATTCCTTGTTTCACTTCTGTGAAAAATGCCGTTCATATTTTGATAGGGCTTGTATTGAATCTGTAGGTTGCTTTGAGTAATATGGACATTTTAACAATATTAATTCTTTCAGTCCATGAACATGGTATATCTTTCCATTGATTTATATTGTCTTCAATTTCTTTTATCAGTGTCTTATAGTTTTCAAAGTATAGCTCTTTTACCTTGTTAGTTAAATTTATTCCTTGGTATTTTTTTTTTTGAAGTTATTGTAAGTGGAATTATGTTCTTATTTCTCAGATAGTTCATATTAGTGTATAAGAACACAACAAATTTCTCTATGT